TGGATTCCATATGAGCGAAAATTTGAGCGGGTAATATCGATCCAAGTGTGATAATTAAATGTTTAAGGCCTGGAGCACACAAGTATTCTGCCCTAATTTCCACTCCTTTACTTCTTTATACCAAAAACTGCGACAGTTTGTCCTATGTATGGACTTCGAGGACTAGTACGCTGCTACAAGAATTAATATGCCAATGCTAGGAGTGCTAATTCTAGCAATCATATTTACTAAGACCAGAAAATAGTATACTGAATAGGGCCTGGACTTTCACGCTGAAAATCGGAGGCTAGTATACAATCACAAGCTCTATCGGGCACGTAGTGGAGTGGAGGATTAAAGAAGCGTTTATGTTATGGTGACTTTAGTTTCAAAAATGCCTTTAGGTCGCAACGCAGAACCATGTGCCCTTTCTCAGGCTAACTTTGTTTACCTGCAGTAGTTAGGTCTACCTTAGCTGTTACAGAGCCCCACCTGTCTAATAGGGAGCTATCTTCTCCAGAGTCAGCTATAAATGGAAGCTTAGTTTTTCTGATAATTGTGCCAGTAGCTGAGTAATAAGATATGTGCCCCAGTTTTGCGATTAGCATATAGGTGGGAATATGAGCTCACGAGCTTTCAAACCTTCCCCTGTGGTGAGTGTGTAGGCACCCGGTCTCATGCAGCGGGTAATGCTGTCTAAAGTCGCTCATAATCTGATAGCTAAATGGCCAAATCCATTTTTCACGTGGCCGCGGCCGATTGAGCGAGTGTGCGGATGGTTGGCAGACGACTTGCAGTACTTCCACTACCACTACAACTTTATACTACTCACATAATTTCAGTAGATCATTTTGTTTGCATGAATTTCGGCGGGTTGAAAAATGTATAATGCATGTCGTACGCTCCACACCTCTGCCGTTTGCGTTTAATTTAGTTTCGTGCATTTTGCATACTACAATAGCCCGCAGAAAACTTGCAACCTTGCATGCATACACACACGGTTTAAATGGAGTTTGTTAAGGTCTCCTTCATTGACTCCAAATATTCTGACTGACATCCACTGAACCACAATAATCCCCTTCACCATCATAAAAACAGCAACCGTCACCATCACCATCACCGCCACCACCATAATCATAGTCAATGCAAAAAAATTAGAATGGTTAACAGAGTAAAATTTCCTCTCGACAGACGGCTGGGGAGTTAGTAAGGACATGCAGCGTGCAGATTACGCCCTTTGCCGACGATTCTGTGATTTTATACTTCAACACCATTAAGTTTCACCCGACAGCGATCACATTTCGATGATCAAAGTTCACACAACACTGCTAGCTTACCGTTATCCCATGATCACGAAGCCAACTATATTGGCACACAGCCTGTATGAAAGTACTCGACTGACGACGATTTTCAATAGCATCTGCACTTAAAAAGTGGCGCGTCTGTCAGGGGACTGATGTTAGTGCACCTTACCAACGTAGTGCGGAGCGCAGGCCCCGCAGGCAAATCAGTTCACGGCGTGAACTGGCACACAACCAATCAGAGGCCTACTTCCAATCGGCAGCTGCGTTTTTATCTCTGTATGCGTTCTATGTGCGAACTACTAACAGGAAAAGTAGCCTCCATGCGGATTACGTTCTTCCTGCCATCCTTGTTATCCCGCAGTTACTTCTAGACATCCTCACCTAATCCGCTCGCCCAGCTCACATGGCTGACCTAGAATACTTTAAATGCCAGCCGCACTGGCAAAAACAGTCCTCGCAAGAGCGCCGCATTGTTCTGAATCACACAAAAGCCAACCGACTTGCTGCCAAAAGCGTCAACCGCCAATTTCCTAAGAATGTGGCCATCTCCTCACACTACACTTGGTGGAATTTCCTGGCGCTGAATCTGTTTGAACAAATGCACAGCGTGGCCAACTTCTTTTTCACCATCATCTCCATCATCTTCTTCTTCGGGGAGACGCCCATCTCTCCAGCCACTGTTGTGGCTCCACTCATCGTCGTGATGAGTGTACAGATCATCAAGGACGCCTACGATGACTTTGGACGCCACCGAAGTGATAAGAAAATCAATGACACCCGGTTTCCCGTCTGGGTGCACGGTGAGCAGCAGGGCTTTGAGGTTCAATCCGGCTGGGCCAGCGTTAAAGCTCGCCATATCCGATGTGGTGACCTGATTCTCTGTCATGAGGGCGAATCCTTCCCTTGCGACACCCTCCTTCTAGCTTCCAGTAATTTGGATGGTAAGATTGCAGTAACCACCGGTAATCTGGA